TTTTTTTTTTTTTTTTTTTTTTTTTTTAGAAGATAGAACGCTCCTGCGGAGCTGCAAGTTTGTCGTTGCTACTAAGACAAAAGGTAACTGGGGATGCGGCTTGCCATACCTGTTGGCTCGGCACACAGAGGTCAAGGTTGATTCGCCGGATATTCATCCTTATAATGCTGGAAATGCACAGAGCATAGACCTACTCAAAGCTATTCGAGCTTCACTGCTCGTCAACAGCAGAAGGCTTGCAGAATCCAATCCCATCGCTAATTCATACTCGCCTCTGGAAGGTTCCAGCGACGAAACAATTAGATAGAGCGACTCAATCCAGAAGACAGGAAGCCATTTGAGCTCCATTTTCTGACATATGCCATTCCAAGGGTGTATCTCTGGAAGAGCATAAAGCTTTAGTGCCAGGGAGAATAATAAGCCTATCATCATATAATCATGGCTGGTGCTCATTATCTGGGACACCTGACTCGTAGGCATACGAACCTACACCAAGCCGAGATTTTGCTCGCTGGCGTATGTCCAGATCAGCCTGTGATATCTGGGACTACAATGATTCAACAATAAATTTCGAGCGAAAATTTTCTCCCCGCAAGCATTCAGTTCTGCTGTAATAATATAATCAGGGAGCCTTGCTAGCGTTCGAAAGACTGAGATGGCTAAGCAACAGGTCAGCTTCGATCCTGAAAGACTGAGATATCCGTTGAATGGAATCCTCTATCAGACCTTCGACAGCCAAAGAATGTAGATCAGCAAATGATAATCATACAGCCTGAGCTATCGTCTGAGAATGTTGCTGGCACAGTCTAGCAATGACTCTATTTTATGACCGAATCTTCTGTTTTTCTTTTTCTTTTTCTTCCAAAAAAAAAAAAAAAAAATAAGGAAAAAAAAATCTCGCAAAGACATAGAGATCATGCGATAGAAAAATTGGCGAGCAGTACGCGAGCCTCTACGCATTTGTCAAATTTCGAGGCGCCTTCGAATCAACCACCAATACTGGCAACGCAGCCTGTAAGACTTGAAGAAGCAATCTCGTGCGCGGGTACTGGCCTTGAAGTCCAACATCGTACAACGAAAGAAGAAATTGCGCCAGCCACAAAAGCAGTAAAATGTTCTTCCAGGTGGAATAACTGCGAAATTCCGGCGAACGGAACCAGTCAACAAATACCGTGCAATAAAACAGAAACTTCTGCAGGCGAGAGGGATTGGTAAAGTGTTCCCACCGTTTGCTGTGCAAGAAAGGTCGCTGAATGTTTTCATCTGTCCATATGGGCGGCAAGCTCAGTAACCGGTTCCGCCAGAAGGGTTTCAGTCGGCCAGTTTCAGCATGGTACGGTTCCTCCAGCAGGAATCGCTCCCAGCGCGAGACAACGGCTCTGATGTCTTCAAACGAGCACTTAAAAAACTCGCCATGCCAGACCTTGCACTTTGGACATTCAAAGGGCATGCAAAAACCGCTTAACTCTGCTTGGCTCAAGGACTCCAGTTTGAAGAAGAAGTTCACTCGTTTGGAGCAGAAGCGAATTTTCAACGGTAGTTCACACTTATACATGATGTCGTTCTCGCGCTTGAAGACGTCGTTGCCCGAGGTCCCAACTTTGAAAAGGTTTTCTTCGCCAATGACCTCGAAGATGTAGACCTCGCCAGTTTTTCTCTCGCCTCCGGCGTTCTTCTTTTTTCTCGAAGAGCTGTGTTCTTCAGTGCAGCTCATCAAACAGGTCTGAATTTTTTCGTCAATCATAGCCTGATTCAATTTCGGGGGCGTAATTTGGGGGGATGGCGAATGCGACGTCGGAATCTTTTGGCTTCGCTGCGACTTCGTCGAGTCGAATGTTTCGGAGGCGTCGATGGGAACGTTTGTCTTTGACTCCATCCCATTCTCACTTGTGTGATTAGTTTCGCCGGCTGTGGACGTCGAAAATATGTCTGGGTATGAAATATCGATGGGCCCGCTCCTATGTTCGCCGCTAATATTCGAATTCCTGTGTGCTGCAGGTAGTGCTCTTGATCTTCCAGCGGTGATGTTTTCACCGGTCCAGTTGGGCGCGATTGCGACACTAGATCTGGTCGAAGATATGCTGAGATTCGAACTTCTACCCTTCAGTACTCCGTCAGAGACGCAACGTCTTCGGGTTGTGTTGAAGCATGAACTCGACGGTCTTGGAGACGGGTTGGACACTGAACGAGGGGTCATTGGTTCGTGAATGAAACGAAGAGCTGTTTTTCAGAAAGAAAAAGCATGATTCTACATTCACCGACGTTCAACATATTTTTTATATAGCAGAGTCGTCTTCGAACTGTACGTTGTGCTCACGTGTCCTCGCACGAGTAGATCATATTGCAAAGCCAGTGCGCGAAGCGCGAAGGATTCTGAGCTGGCACTCAGCCACCACTCATTGCATTTGAATCGCCTGCAAGATTCCATTTCGGGTTGTCCATGAGACGAAAATACTAGGCAACCGTGTCATTATTGGCTTGATATTTCAAGCTCTGTCAAGGGAAGAAACCAAAGCAAGTCTAACATGAATCGACGTAGGTGGAAGTCGCATGAACCGCATGAACCGCATGAACCTCGTGAGGCCGAATCTGCCTTGCCTTGTTTTCTGATCCCGGTTGTCTCCCTGGATCAATACCGTTAAGCACTCAAAGAAAGAATACTTTGGGACTCTCGCGATCACTGGGATGAGCAAGGGGAGACTTGATGTAATGCCTTCGATACGAATTTTGGATGAGTTGCTTCTGGGGTTGAAGCTTCACGTTGGGCCGTGCGAACTGCACCTGGTGGTGGCTTTTAGGCACCGACCTCCAAGACACTGCCGTACGGCGGACGACTTCTCTATGTGCCGCCTCAGGACGTTTGTTCGGGGCTGAGCGATTGGGATGTTCAAGGCAAACGAGGCTCGTTGTTCAGCCTTTACCATGATGAGTTCAAACTGGCCCTCGTGGACCATTACATGGACGAAGGACCGAACCTCCTATCTGTCGACTTGAGGGTGGTTAGCATCAGAAGATGAGGCAAAAGAAGAAAGGGGAGCTGTTGAACATTGTCAAAGTCTTGCCTGAAGTCAAACCAAGCAAGATTTCACGCCATTCCATTAATTTCGTTTAACTGGAATCTAGACCGAGTTCGTCACAGCTTTTTCTAAAGCGAAACAACACCGCATATCCTTTTCGGTTTCTAGGACGCAGAAATTCATCGCCCTAGATTCGGACTCTACTCCCATGATTAATTACCCGATTTCACATCGACACTGTTCATGATGATCCGCTCTCAGTATGCTATAACATTAGTATCATATCGGGCAGCTTATGTAGCGTCAAATTCGCGAAAGAAAGGTTTGAGGTGGAGCTGGAGCGTTTCCGTCGATGAAGTCGTAATTGACAACTCCATAGCAAATGCGCTTGAATTATGACTAAACTGGCACGTGATTCGGCACTCGCGAAGAGAAAAGGATTATTCTGGACCAGCGGTATTCAGGAAATAGGATTGAAGTTTTATCCTCAATCCATAATAATCATGATCTAATATTGGTGTCGTTTAAACACTATGAACAGTCATGACGCATCATTCGATTTCAAACCACGCGAGAGCAGCCTCTCCCGGCGTGCTCAACTCGCTCACTTAACGTCCACTTGAAGGTCTCGGAAAAAAGCCATGCCAAGCGGGAAACAAAAGTACAGATTAATTCGACGCGCTTACTGACCGCCACGGAGACGGAGCACCAAGTGCAGAGTCGACTCCTTTTGAATGTTGTAGTCTGACAGCGTGCGACCATCCTCCAGTTGCTTACCAGCGAAGATCAAGCGCTGCTGATCTGGTGGAATACCCTCCTTGTCTTGAATCTTGGTCTTCACATTGTCAATCGTGTCTGAGGATTCAACTTCTAGGGTGATCGTCTTTCCTGTGAGCGTCTTCACGAAAATTTGCATACCTCCGCGAAGACGTAGCACAAGGTGCAGAGTAGACTCCTTTTGAATATTGTAGTCAGACAGAGTACGGCCATCTTCGAGCTGTTTACCAGCGAAGATCAGGCGCTGCTGGTCTGGTGGGATGCCCTCCTTGTCCTGAATTTTGGTCTTGACGTTATCGATGGTATCAGATGACTCGACCTCAAGCGTGATGGTCTTTCCAGTCAGAGTCTTGACGAAGATCTGCATACCACCACG